TGATATTTTTTTCATCACGAAACATTGCATGGAATAGTGTTGATATTATTAAAGACAAACACTACCACATTAGTGCAATGCAATGCAACACATTTTTAAAAATTGTCTCTGGAAATGGTACATAGTACAAGTTTAGTAGAAACCACTTTCGTCACGAGTTTGACGTTTGAGTGTTTAATAAATGAGTGATTGAAGAAAGTGTGAGATATTATCATTTTTGCAAAACAACACGATTTGATTTTATTGTGTTGATTTTGCCATTTTTGCAATTTGAGAAGTGTGTTGTTTCTGATTATTAATAACGATAATCCTTACTTTATTTTCATAAATAAGCACCTACACCACACAGCATAACCTGAGAGCTTCCAAGCATAGAACGTGAATGTATGTTTATGGCTGCCTATTTATACTCACTTTATGAATGAAATGTCATGTCTTCTGTGGATAGAATCTTTTTGGCATAACTACGCGTGATTATCATTGGCGTAAATGCTTTGGGAATATTGACATTGGAGCCGAATTTAGTTGTTTGCTTTTGGTGATTTTTGCAAATTGCGAAGTGTTTCGTTTAACTAAAGAGTTACTTAGAATGTTACTTAAGTGTGTAGAACAATCAATTGCAATCATTCTAACTTCAGTTTTCATCCATCTATGGCGCCATCTCGCAGCATAAGCTGAAAGCGAGGCTGATAGCTTTGATATTTCCAAGCGTAGAAAGCAATTGCCTGAACTAAATCGTATAAGATCCATTCTATAGCCACAATCATTTATAAATGTTTCGACTCATTTTATGGATAAATTGTATTGTCTTCTTTGGATATAATGTTTTTGGTTTGCGATCGCTTTGATGGCGAAGAATGCTTCTTTTTTAACTTTTGTGCGCTACGATCGATACACAATTTACGACGTTTTAAATTAATTTATACAGAAAACATAAAATTAATACAAAATGTACTCGCACAGGGACGTTATTCGGTTTTTGATATTATATTATTTCTTTTTGGTTTCAAATAAGCCTTTGATTTTAGAAAATTGATTTATTTAATTCTCGGTTGGGTCAAAAGAAACACGCCACCAACACATCGAACCTTTGTTTTTTTTTTCGGTCATGCTTTAAACTACGTCCGGAGATTTTAAAGAATAGGTCCAAAAACTGTCGGACATGGATTTTTCGACCACGCCAGATCCGTCAAATTTGTCGGACACGTCGGCGCGAAGACGACCGGTAGACGAAGTAAACGGCACCGCCTCCCGTCGCGTCCGACCGTGTTTTGTCAGTTTGTGCGCCTTCATTTTTTTTTTCGTGCGCGCGCGATTGTTGTTGTTCCCGCGCGAACCTCCCCCCTGCCCGCTTCCCATAACGCCACATAAGTCACCGTTTTGTTGTTTGCCGTCTCTCAATTTATCCCGGGAGGTGTCGACAGCGACGCGCGTTTTATTATAAAGTAACGATTATTGATGACGCGCGAGAAATCGGGGCGACCTCTGCGGGGCGTACGTTGGGGCGACGAAGGCGCTGACAGCGTTCCGACTACGGCGCAAAACGGAAACTACGGCTAAGCTAATTTTGAATTGTACTTAGTATGCGCATTAGCAAAAAAAGCGTTACAAGGAAATTTATTTCCAGTTCGAGACGATTTGGAACTTTAAGTTTGCCGTTTCAACAGTATTCCAGAATTGTTTTTGATCAGTTCTAACGCCGTAAAACGAATTCTAGGATTGGCGGAGTGCTGTCTCAGGAGAAGTGTTTTCATGTTCCTTTTTTAAATTCTTATAATTTTATTGTTTGGGGTCTTTACATTTTGAAAGTTAATTATTCGGATTGTTCAATGGCTTATAAATTGTAAAAATAAACTACTGAAAATCACACTGTAATTCTGTAAATACCAAAAACTAAAATTTATTCTTTTTAAAGTTAAAAAAAAATAATGTATTTCTTCTAAAAAATTAAACAATTGCTAATTGTAGTGATAGCAATTACTTTTACTGTAATGGTAGTTAGTCTGTTATAGTTCGTACGACTTCTGTACACTGACAGGGCATAGATTCAATTAAATTACTAATTTTCTCCCTCCTAATATTAAAAACACTCTTCCTGGAGCATGCCTTGAAGCTGCTCTAAATTTTGGGAGGGTTGACGATTTATAATCCTCCTTTTAAGATAATCCCAGATGTGTTGAATACGATTAAGGTCTGGAGAGTTTACTAGTCACTTCAAAATCCCGATATTTTTGCTCTTCGAGGAATTCAGTTACTATGCTGGCAGTGTGGGGTCGCACATTATCACATCGTAGTGTAAATTCTGGACCTTATTCGTTGGAACATATCAATATATAGGGTTGTACAATGTCCTTCAAATAATGACGAGCGCCCTGTCAATGAAATAGGTACCGCCCCAAACCATAATAGAACAGTTTGCTCATGATATGTTTCCATCGCTCGTCTCCAAGCCCCCACACGTGCCTGCATCAGTATTACTAAGTCTAAATCTAGAGTCATCAGTAACCAATAAGTGTCCCCCACTGATCCACATTCCAGTATAAATGATCGCGGTAAAATTTAATCGGGCTCTTGGATGTGCTCCCGTTAACAGTGATCTCACAGCTCTAACTCTTGACCGCAAACCAGCTGCGTGGAGTCTATTTCGTACTGTATGTGTACATGTTCGTCTTCCTGTGGCATTAAAATGAATATCAACAATGTTGCGCACCATTCTTGCTATATCTTGAACAGCATATCTCACCAAATTACGATTTTCGAGTGCTATTATCTTGCCAAACTCTTGATATCTGCTAGAAAGTCTAGATATTACTGAATGACTGGTTTGAAGTCTGCGATACTTCTAATGGAAAAGCGTTCTTGCTATAATATTACTACCCTCACTACTTCAATTTGATTAAAATGTCTTCTTTGATCAAGAGGTCTTCCCAATGCATCGATATTCATTAAAGTTCAGTAACACACACGTATACATTTAGGTGAAGTAAAGTCTTTGAGATATTTTAGCTAAAACACTGTTCTAGCAATGCATTGAATTCTGGATTAATAATTGACAATCTCTTCGATGCTCAATTCCAAATTCTAAATTACTTCGAAAACGATTAGAGATTTTGTATTGGAGCAAACTTAGAGACGAATCGCTTTATTGACAAAACAGATTAGAAATCTGTGAGGGGCAAATCAATATACTAAACTGATATACCCGATTTCATACAACCATAGAATGTCTCAGATTTCATTTAATTTCAGACTTCAAGGATATTTTATGGATTTTTAAATAATTTGGCAAATTTGACTGATTTTCAAAAATAATTCGTAAATTAAAATTTAAAATTAAAAATATATAAATAAACGCTTTTTTAAAACCTCTTTTCAAAAATTAGCATAAGTGGTCTTAGGGTTATAAAAATAAATCCATAAATTCAAATTTAATATTTTTCTTTCACTTCAGAAGTTAAATAAATAAAAAAACACTTTTATTAGTAAATTATGTATGTTCCTTTATATACATCACACAAAAATTATCCCATCATATACAGGTTGTTTCACCATAAATGTCCATCTGATATATCAATTATAACTAACATACACATAACATAACATAAAATTTGAGGTTTTACTGTAATGGGTCCGTCCGCATGATATTTTTAGTGCCAGCTTGCTTATTTTAAATAGAACAATTTTCCTACATTAAATTATTTTTAGAACTTTAATTACGTATTTTTCTTTATGGAAAAGGGCATGTTTAAGACATTTAGTAATTTTAATAATTATTAATATATACTGATGAAAAACTACAATGACAACAGGACATAATTTTTAACATTGGGTTAACTGAATACTCAAAAAAATGTAAATTAAAGATTTCACCAACAAAGTTCGTTGAATTTAATAATCGTATTTGTCTAAAGTAATTATGGTCCAATCAAATCTAATGTTAACTTAAAAATATATATTTAATAATTACATACTGTTTTTTTTTATTTTCAAATTTTATTTTATTCAAATTTGCTGTAATTAATGACAAGTGCTCAAAACGCTAAGGAAATACGTGACGATTTTACAAATATTTCACGGATTTCATAGAGCTAACACATCAGATTTCAAGCATTATTTACCCCTAAGGAGATTTAAAATGGACATATTCGCAAAATTTAAAAGTAACCTCAATTTCGTTAAGCACTGTCTGGAGGCTGTGTTTTTGGTAAACATTGATGGTATTTTCACGTCACACATCACTGCTCTTTTGTAAAATTATATCCAAAGATTAACGGTCCTAGAAAAAGTATAGTATGCAACACATTGACAAAATTCTTCGGTCACTCGTTGCCAAATCCAACTCGTGACTAAAGGCTCGTTTATGAAACTTATTGCATAATATATTGTATTACACCCATATTAATTACTTATGCTTCGACTAGCCCGTATTGCTCTAGGTTTATCTAATAAAGTTAGTTGAACAAGTTTTGCATGAGTAGTTTTGTCAACAAGAAGAAATTCTATTTTATTTTTCACTGTTGGGGACAACAACTGCAACTTTTTCGTATTCGGGTGTTAATGAAACGTGCCCTGCATTCGAGACTTTTTTAATAGACAATGAACATATATTGATCTAATTGCAAAAAAAAACGTTTTTTCTTAATAATTATATGAATAATGACAAAATGGTTGCGGCTTTCGCGGCCAGTTGATGAACTGTTGTCCTGGATCGGGTCTAAAGGCCGACGTCGGTTGCAATTGCTTCCAACAACCAATTTCAACCGACTGCGAACTTTAGACCCGAACCAGGACAATAGCAATATCAATCATACTTATTCTCATCGACTTTTATACAAAAGTATCGGATGATGTCCGACATAACAAGAAAACACCCACTTCAATTTGGTGTGCCTGTTGGTTAACAAACAGGTGTGAGACGTTGATAGACTATATATAGGATGTTTTTGAAAACTGCGCGTTTTAGAATGAGATCGAACTAAAAAAATTTCCTCCCGTTGCAGACCAGCGACCTGGACAATTTCCTCTGCAAGCAAGAATGGGAACGGCGGCTCGAGGAGGAGCTGGAGAAGCCGCGGCGCGAGTCCGCGTCGCAGATAGACGATTTTTTCGATCCGGCAGCGGCGGGAATCACGATCCACCACGGGCGCCATCAGCAGCAGGGAGGCATGAGTTACGTTTCGATGCGCACCTTGCCCGGGACCGACGACGACGTCTTCCTCAGGTACATATTACATTATATTTATGCATTGAGAAAATGATTTCTATACGAAATTCATATATCAATATTTAGAAATTTCAACCAAATTGGTGAAAAAAATATAAGGTTTGTTAAATTAGTAAATTCGCAAAAATTATCCATTAATTTTGAATGATTGGCTTGTTACCGGATAAAAAAAAGAAAAATAAGCCATCCAAAAATATGCTTGCATCTCTCCTGAGAACCTTTATAATAAATGAATGTTTCTCCATTTTTTTTATCCAATTACTTCTAAGTAATTAATTTTAAAAAATTACACTTATTAACTTTAATGAATTGTAATAAATTGGTTGCGTATATTCTCTGTGCTGCCCGTATCTCTGTTATATATCCACTTCCATTTTGGTTAATAGGATTAAGCAATGTAAATCAACTTTAATTAATTTAATTAAATATTATACAATGAATTCATGGAGTATATAAGTTAATTCAATAAACATTGCGCTGCTGGTTCGGCAGGCCGCCGCTATGGGAGGACATCGCCAGCAGTATCCAAAACATCGATCCAGAGAACGCCAATATGTTGGGCGTCGGTCATATCAAAATGGAGACCGCGGACGAACTGTCGGCCGCGTGTCAGCCGACTCCCTCACCCCTACTGTCGCCGCTCGAAATTAAGACAGAGAAGGTCTTGCAGCCTCCTGGTCCCACGCTGCACTTGATGGCGACGCCGGCCAGTCCTTACGGTCAGCAGCCGACCACGACCACCACCAACAGTCCTACCCACCAAACGCAGCAACCTCAGCAACAGCACTACCATCAGCAACAGCCGGCCGTTCACCATCCGCATAACAACAACAACACACACCCACAGTACAAATATACTAACAACAATAACAACAACGTGGTTCCAGCGTCTGCTCCCGGTAATTTGTTATTTAATGAAAGGTTAATTTATCGAACGTGTTTACAAACGAACGTAAAATGAAAATGGGTAAAATGTCTTATTCCGATTCATGCATGCGCGGCTTATGGTCCAAACACCTAAAACAGTGATTCGATACATTGAGCCGGATGAATAAAAACAAAGATACTATTACTACAAATTTCTTTTGCGCCGAAGTAGTCCACTTTTAGTCCGTATATCTATCTCTAAATAAATAAATAAAAAAAAAACCGTAACCATTTGGTTGCAATAATTCTAAGCGATGATATAAAATTGAACCAATATTAAGATTGAGAATAACTAAATAAATAAAAAATAAATTAAAGTGTAAAACAGAATTAACTGCAATTTTAATGTTAATTTAACTGGAATTAATAGTTATAGATGTGAAAAAAGTGTCCAATCAGGCATTTAGAATGGAACTCTTAACTAGACATAAACAAGGGTCCTCTAGATGGTATGTAGTCTAAGGTCTATACCACCCAAGAATGTACTTTATTCATGCGACCCAGTATTTCCTTCGTACTAGATTCGCGTGAAAGTTTCGGGCATAGAACTTCAAAAAGGTAGAATTGTTTGTAAATCATGGTTACTAAATTAAATGTTTGGTCGTTAATCTTGAATTGAAGTTTTCCTTGCTATACTTTCGAAGCGACACAATTATGTAATTCTCAAGGATAGTATAGGATAGGATAGTGTCAATCGTACTTTAACCAAAGAGATTTTTCAATCGCTAGACCTTTCACTTCACTGGTGATAATTTACCGCTCCTATTTCAAAGGGCTTCTATCTCACTATTCATGTATCTCTTTGAACTAGAGCCTCATTATTACAGATATAGGTGGACTTTATCTGCGTACTTAATGTCGAGCTGTATGAAACGCATAATACTATAAACTTTTATGCTGTATTAAAGTTTTATCTGCCAAGTTTGGCAAAGTTATGCACGCAAAACAGAAAATGAAAGTCACTAAATGGGAACACGTGTTTTTAATTTTAACTAACTACGAGCGCAAATCGATTAGTCTGTTTATCACTAAATCAATAAATTAAAAAATTCTGAATACAAATAAACTTTATCAATAAATCATCAAGTTTGTACATGACTTGTCAAAGTTGATAATAATTTTCTAGAAGAAGACAATCAAAAACTCATTCCATTAGCAAAGTAGACGTTTTCTTCTCCCTTGAACACTAACATACTATAAAACTTCATCGCAGACGCGGTTTATTAGTTCCAAAATTAATAAGTTAACAATAATAATGTCGTTTACCATTCCGTTCGATAAATTTCAGGTAACGCCCTCTACCCCATGTCCAGGCTGATGTATGTGTCCCCCTTAACGCCGCCCAATTCGGAACCGGGTTCGCCTGGCGGCGCGCTGCCCCGGCGGACGCCACCGCCTCCATACCCCGCCCCCGGTTGCCCGCCTCCCCAACAACAGCCCCCGCCGCCCGCGAGCACTGTACCCCGAATATCCGTGGGGGTAAAATACAATAGGCGAAACAACCCGGAATTGGAGAAAAGGCGGATACACCATTGCGATTTTATTGGTAAGTTGAGGAGGAGCTCCGTTGCTCCGAAAAGGAGACTCTTTGTTCGATCGATAACGTCAAGAGGGCGCAACGACACCCCTCCAGAAAAGGGAGATAAATGTGTGTAGGTAAAACGAAATATGGCAACCTCGTCTGGAAAAAGCGCCATTATTAAAAGAAAAAAAATGCCCGCGAAACCTTTATGTTTAATTAAACGATTAGTTCGCGGAAAATGTGGGCTGTGTGCTATTAAATTTTATACTATGGAAATAATGTAACTGTTAGAATCCTTGGTTAAATGCCACGGAAATATCGATCTTAAAAATTAGCTGTACATGGTGTCTTACTGTTGATGGAACATTGGACGTTTGAGAAAAACAAAACGTAACAATTTGCTGCTCCCTCTATTTTCGGTGTAGTTGAAAATTTAGCCAATTTGAATTGTGTCAGGCTACTAGTTCTCTTTAGAAAAAATAACTTCTGCGATGTACAGGGTGTCTACAAAATCATGACACGGAAAACTTTTGACCAAATTTTCTTAAATTTTTAGTTTTGATTTATGCATTCTATATATAATAAAGTATATTATATGTACTCTCAAATTTGTTTTTCTTTTGTTATGTTGCAATAGCCTTATCACTTAGCACCATCTAATTAATCAATATCAGTACGTTGCTTAGAGTTTTGCTCTGCTCATTCCTATGCAAATAACAAGCAGCTTTTGCATGTATTTGATGCCGAGAATTACGAAGAACTCGAAATTATAATAGATTTGAATTTAGTTTAGTTTATTGTTAACTTCTCAGTACCAATCATGCATTGCACAAGTTTTGATACTCAACATTTTTACATATGCATCTACAATGTACAATTACAATTACGATCTGAATTTGAAAGGTGGAATAGTCAGATAAACACTTGAAACTTAAAATAAATTCTACTTAATGGAGTCTATGAACTTTTCATAGAAATGCAAAAGAGTTGGAAAATAATTTGATTGCAAAAATCGAAAAATTAAAAACAGTCGTAAAAGTTTAAGATTCAAGTCTCAATTTGAAGATGTTGTATAGTGTTCCGAACATCTATTAAAAATACCTAATTTAAATTGAAGATCTTATATTCCGTTCTCGCCATAAGATAAAACTGTTTGAAAAATTATTTTCCTATAACACTATAATATATAATTATAAACTAGTCCACATAGCCAGAACCTTGATCTTTTTTAAATTTTTTTTCTGATCCATTTTGCAAAATGTTTCACACGTTATAGTGGTTATTCTTTTTGCCAATAAAGCATTCTTTATTATTCATTTATAATCACACCCACCGAATAGAATCCCGAAAGTAAATCAGAAATATAAACATGTTTTATATAACTAAAGATAAAAATCTACATTAAAAAAAGTTTTAATGAAGTTCCATACAGAGAAACGTGAAATTTACGTCTTAGGTATTTAACGAAACCCGTGAACAAATAGGGTGGTGGACATTTAACGCGAGTTCTGTTAAGCGAGTTTATAAGAATCTGCCGTTCCGTTACCACACGCGGCAAAACACCATTACAATAACAATTTGCACAATTCCGTGTCATTAACGTTTGTTGACATTTGAAAATCTCCATTACGCCTTAATATTCATAGTCGCGCGTTTTGTTTTTCTACTCTACCCGGCGTTCGAGTGGCAACTAAACGATTCGCACTTAACGAAGAAGATGGATTCGGTTTGGCACTGCTTTTCCATCCAACCTCGCTATTTTATTAATAATCTATTCTTTCGTTTCAGGTTGTACTAAAGTCTACACCAAAAGCTCACATCTGAAGGCGCATCAAAGGATTCATACAGGTAAATTCCATACATAATATTTCATAAACATGGAAATTTGCAAAAGTAGGTCCACTTACCTTTGGGATTGGGATTCCTCTCTGCGGCTGACGGTCAATGTTTTAATTTCATGCTAAAAAGAAACTTACTTTCCGCACTTTTCAGGAAATCGCACCTCGATTTCCTCACATTTTGGATTTTCACATAAATTTAAAGAAACTTCGACCAAAAGTTATTGCGTAATTATTTGTTCAACCGTCGCCCACTAGACAGCGCTTTCGAAGATACGCTAGACTGCGTTATAAATACAGTCTTTAAGGATACACACTCCTGGGGGGGGGGGGGGGGGGGGCTCTAAGGACTCTCCTACTAAGTTCAGCTTTGTTTTTACGCTCCTTAAGGTCTAGAATCAAGGGGTTATAAAATTTACCGCCGTTATTCAAACCCGAATGCGGTCCATACCCATATTTCCGCGGCGTTTTGACAGCGTCGTCGCTAGCGACCAAATTGCTCAAAAGTCGAGGCAAAAACGGCCACGTATGAATATTTTCTACTATGCAGACGGCGACGACGGACACCGAGGTCAGTCCTAAATCCACAGAAACTTCTAGAAAACGTGTGTACGCAGAAATGAATCATTTTAGGCAATCAGAACGATTTATTTCTTCTTCTATCGGTACTTCAAACAGAAAACATGTTTATGGCTGATAAAAAGGAAAGGATACTCAAATAGAATTATTACAAATAAAGCTTCGTTACAACCAAAGAACGTCTCGTAAGGAATAGGGTAACAATAAGTTTCTCTTCTGCATCTCATTATTAAAATTATCTGGAAAAAGCTTTAATTCTTTTAAGAGATAGTTGATTCTTTTAACTGACAAACCACCCTTTCATTCATATACGACGCTTTTTTTGAACCTTTGTTTGCATCAATAATAATTAGTGCACTTGCCAGTCTTGTCTGCTTAAAGATACATTATTTGCCAATGAATCGCAAAATATTAAGACGCTGGTGTTAGGCGAAATTGGAAAGGCGTTCTCATTGCTAGCAACAACGCTAACCGTCAAAACGCCAGTAAAAGTAGTTTGTGTATGAGCCGTACTAGACGTTGACCACAGATTACGTCCCCGCCTACTGCGACTTAAATGTGCAAAAATTTACGAATGGTCTGTATTCCAGGAGAGAAACCCTACCAGTGCCAGTGGCCAGAGTGCGAGTGGAGATTCGCGCGGTCGGACGAGCTCACCCGCCATTACAGGAAACACACGGGGGCGAAACCGTTCAAATGCGGCGTGTGCGAGAGATCATTCGCGCGTTCTGATCATCTCGCACTCCACATGAAGCGTCACTTGCCGAAGACCGCAAAATGAGACGCGGCGATAGCTTTAGAAAGAATTTCCATATTTTTACCGTAATATTTATAGAGGCGCGCGCGCGGCCAAACATTCCAACCTCAATCTGTAGTTAATTTTGCGTGCGCGCCTGCGCCGTCGCGACGTGGCCGTGTGGATCTCAATTGACGTAAAGGACCGTGATACTACCCGAGCGGGTAGCGTGCGAGAAGTAGAAAATTGCGTTTTCTTTTAGAAACGTAGGGCCCTTTTATGGTGTACTTAAAGATTTGTATTTTTAATACGGTTTTAAAGAATTTTATAGGTTTTTACGCTTCGTTTGACTAGGGGTTCGGAAGAGCGGTTGAAATAAAATAGGAAAGTATGACGCCATTTCGTAAAAAAAAGTGTTGTAGCCATCCTGCTTTTGTCATATACTTTCAACTGTTTGCACCTGTAACCCTACTAGTTAGTACTAGGTTGAACGGTATTTTCACTTGTGATTTTTTCGTAGAAGAAATTAGGTTTTATTCTTGAACTACGAAATGTCAAATGTCATTGACTAATAAAAAATATTTATTTTTTACCATATCTATCGCGGCCAATGTTCATGATTAAATGGATCGATTCCGTTTTAATATCACGCCGAGTCGGAAGTTATATTTTGTTTTATATATTTTGTAAATTGTATAAGTTTCTGGTTGTGACATATTTGTTATGTAATTTATACGCTAGGGTAGAGCGAGCGCTAGCATGGCGCCGGCTGTTTTGTAAATTTGTTTCAAAACTGTAATTCTGACATTGCCATTTTTTAACTCTTATGTATTTACCCCTGACTATAATGTGATTTTTTTTATAGAGTATATATTTGCCCTAACGGCCTTTATTAAAGAAATATTATATTATCACGTGCGTTTCGTGACAAGTTACCAAATATGTACACTGAATGTTTAATAATTATTATTTTGTACATAGAGAAAAATCAAATTTGACTAGGTGTCCTAGTCAGGTATACTTTCAATAACAATTGTAAATTGTAATTAATTAATTTAGTCCGAGAAACGTCAAAGCTGCTATGGATTCCGTTGTTTACTGAATAATATTTATATCTTTAAAAAGTAAATAGCTGTGTAGACAAAAGAGTTAAACACCAATTTTTATTAACATTAAATACTTGTACTTTATTTTTTATTTATGTAATGAATAGAGCAAGCTAGATAGTACACATAAAATGTAATTAGAAATCTTGTTTCCTCTTTTTTAATTTTGTATTTTACTTTAATACATTTTTATTTTTATCACCCTTCAGATTTTTTTTTTTCCCGAAGTCCAAAATTCCTAAGCATAGCCACAATTAGTCTGTGGGTAAACACTATCCTTACATTTACCAGAACAAAAATAGGGGTAATGTTTTGCCAAATAAAGAATTTATTTAATTACAAAAAACACTGGTTTGCAAACCTGCAAGGACTCTTGCTTAAGCTATGACAACTGCCGCTTTGATTTTTTATACAAATATATCACAATTAATTACATTTTCCATACAGATTTTTCTGAATAGGAGTTCGACCAGAATAAAAAACCCTTAAGTGTTTCTGGTCTTACGTTTTTGCAAGTTCTACTTGAAAAATAACAAAATCAAAAATCCCTGGATGGGAATTTCATAAAGTAGCTAAATGTACAGCTTGCCAATTGTATTCACACACAACTTTAAAACAACATAAATCAGTCTAAACAATCTCCAAAATGACTAAAATTAGTCATCATCTAAAACAATAATATTAGGTTTTTCTTCAATTATTATTACGTCATTACTGTCATCATCTTCATCGAAATTAACCAATGGAATTTCCTCTTCTTCTTCAACTGTGTTTTTCATCTCTTCTTGTCTTTTAAGGAAATCCTCAGAGTTTAAATCAAATGAATTTGCCAGCAAATATTCATTGCTCAGTTTTATTTCTTTATCCTTTTCATCAATGTAATCTGGTTCACAATGAACATCACTCTGTGATGTCAAACCATTTGTCACTTTTTGATCTGCACTGATATTATCACTTGCGGTTATTTTACTCTGTTCAACTAAAGGTTCTTTGGTAGTTAATGTTCCATTACCAATCACTGTACCACAGCCTTCACTAAACTCAGTTTGAAGAAGGTCTTCTGGATTTAATTGCACCTCCAGCGCATCTTCAAATTTATTTATAACAGTTTCTGTTTCTGATTCATTTGCTGAAACTTCCATTTTCACCTTTGGCTTTCTCCCCCTTCGACCTTTTACTGGTTGCGGCTGATTAGGTGTTATGACTTTTATTTCACTTTTATTGATTAGATTGTCATAATCAAGCCTCTGCTTATTCACGACCACATCGGCTCTGATCATATCTTCAAAGTCTACTAAAGGCTCCTCAGAAGAAACCTGTTTAGACTGTGTGACATAATCTAGATTATTAACAAAGTCAGAAAGCTTTTCCTGTATATCTTCTTCCACATTGTATTCTTCGTCGTCCGAATTGGGTTTCACTGAACCATTTTCGTCTTCTTCGTAATCAAAATCTTCGCAAAAGAGGGGCCGTTTACGCTCTCTTAGACCGTACCGTTTTGGGGCTGGAGTTGACGAAACAGTGTCGAAATCTAGATCAATATCGCTATCGTTTTCATCGCTGTCGTAGGATTTACGTGCGTATCGTGAAGCCCTCGTTCGCTTCCTTACCATTTTAATACATATATTTTGGTTTATGAAAACGAAAATGTCAAATTTAAGTTTAAGGTTAGAAATACGTTTTCGATTGGTCAATTCGTAAGGGGACAGCTTCGTCACAGAATACAGTTACATAAACTTAAAAACTTATGTACTCGATTCGATTTTTTTTTATTTACAGGCATATGTATTATTACTTATCGTCAGCCAGTAACTCCTGTTTTGTTAGGAAAACGATATTTTTCATCGATGACAATAAAATTCATTTTACATCGTACTGAAGAAGAAGAACGGTGGACATGGTCCATAGTTCAATTTGGATTTTCGTCTTTTCAGTTTTCTTGTGCTATTCACTGATTTCGCGCCAGTTTCCATAAAATGTTATTGTCGTTTCCTAGCATTTATCTTTTGTGTTTATTTTTAAATTGAATATAAGTGTGTTAAGCGATTTGTTGCATGATAAGTTATATAAGTGATTCGTCTCAGGTTGTGTAAAAGGTTTACCAATATCTAACCTAGAATTTATTAAACAACAGTTTATTTGTAATAGCTTACACCAAATGGCACGTAAAAGGAAATCTGTGGACAACAGTACAACCGAACATATGAGGTTGAAAAGGACGAAATGTAGGTATTTATCAGATATTACATTATATTATACAAATAAGATCATAACAAGAAGCTTTTTCATAGAGTTTATTTCTTCCAGACACTTTGGATTATGTAAAGCTACCTGAAATTACCAGAGAGGGATTTGTTCTCGTCACAGGTGCCGGTGATGTTGGGCAATTAGGGTTAGGTCCGGATGTTTTGGAGAAATCGCGACCGACTCTGCTTAAGTTAGAGCACAACATTGTAGACATATGCGCAGGGGGAATGCATACTGTGTGTTTAACAAAGGACGGAAAGGTAGTAAAAGAATAAAAGAAAAATGTCAACTGAAGTGAATTTGTAGGTTTTAACTTTTGGGTGTAATGATGAAGGTGCTTTGGGTAGAGTGACGGACGGCAAAGAGGATGCTGAATTTACTGCTGGGGTTGTGGAGTTGCCGGCAAAAACCATCCAAATATCTGCTGGAGACTCCCACACTGCTGCTTTGTTAATTGACGGAAGGGTATTCGCGTGGGGTACTTTTAGGGTAAAAATTGTTGATAAACAGAAGGTGCTTGTTAATAAAATGACATTTTCGTGTAGGATTCTCATGGTAATATGGGTATGACCCTTAAGGGGAATGAAAAATTGCCTTTCGAAATAATCAAATCGCAGAATATTGTTAAAATAGCATCGGGGGCGGATCATATTGTATTCCTCAACAATTTTGGTGAGGTTTGGACTTGTGGTTGTGGGGAGCAGGGACAGTTGGGTCGAACTACCGAGCGGGGAAGCTCCAGAAATGCCAGGAACAGTATTGGTAAGGGACAAATAGGTACGACCCATTTTCTTAAATTATATGCCAGCTTCGACCTAGTGAAGCTTAAACAATGCAAAAAAAGATAAAAGTTAAATGTGAATGTGTTAATGGTATTGGGTGCAACATAACTTCCGCAATTGCAGCAAAATTATTAGAGCCGGCGCGACTGAGCTTAAAACCCAGCTTGAAGCTCCACTTCGATAACATTTGGGCGGGAGCCTACTGCACGTTTGCCAAAGTCGCGGACAAGGACGACATCTACGTTTGCGGCTTAAACAATTACCATCAAATTGGTTCGTATCCCAGGCGATTATAAATGTCTTGACTTTATGGCTTCTAATTTCAGGATTGAAATCGTCCGGGGCGGAATTTTTGCCCAAACTGTCTCCCGAATTTTCCAAGTACAAGTGGGAGCAGATATGTTGCAGCCAGCATCACACAATCGCGTTGACTGAGGATGGCAAAGTATACGCAATCGGACGCAAAGAGTATGGTCGGTTAGGTTTGGGTAGCGGATGCGAGGACGCCCAAGTGCTGACGCAAGTGACCAGTCTTGCGGACAAAAAGGTTGTCGATGTGTCGTCCGGATCGTGCACCTCCTTTGCTGTCACCGTCGAAGGTAAAATTGTGTTTGGGAATGCTAAACTTAACTCTACTATGAGTCCGTCCATATGACAACCGAAACTAGCCAAGTTTTACTATTTACAAATCTTCTGAATTTTTGCTGTGTCAGTTGATGGCTTTTTGAAATGTCTGACGTTTCGCCAATCATCCTGTTGACTTCTTAACTGAATCGGCCCAGCTTCAGTTTCAGCAGCGTCAGCATGCATACTGCATACCATAACTCTAATCTACATCAACTGATAAATTTCCCAACACAATACCGCTCAAACACCGACCCCTCACTGCTGAACCTGCTGCTGGTTTCTGATAAGAATTTAGTTGTGGATGTAGGGAAAAGTGATCACGTAGTTGTCCTGGCTAAAATTGAGACGTTTGGATTACACACCTGACATTAAAATGCGACAAAAAAACTTCTGGAAAGTAGACTATGATAATCTGAATGAATAACCCTGACAGAGAGAACCAGTATCAAACCATTATATTCCCATGCAGCACTACAAAAAAGTTCTTAAGAAACCATGGACTACAGAGAGACACCTGAAACTAATAAACCAAAAACGACTTTGGCACAACAGCAAAAGTGAAGTGGACAGAGAAAGAAATGAGGCATTATATAACAACACGAAAAATCAAGTTACAAGCCAGATGAGAGAAACACGAGTCAAATTTGAAAACAACCTTACAAAACAGGCACCCAGAAAGTTTTACCAATACATTAACAACTCATTTGAATCAAAGCATGTTAATTTTTCCTTGCTTGACAGCTCTGGTGAGTTAGAAACTGAATCGACTAAGATTGCAGGACTATTTCCTGAACAATTCTAGTGTTTAGAAACTATTAGTGAGGCATCAATTGCAAAAATAAACTTCACCAAAGAAAGAGTTCTAAAAGCTCTCAGCCAGCTTAAGTTTCATGCTTGTCCTGGTTCTGATTATGTGTCCCCAGTTTTTCTAAAAAACTGTTCTGATTGTCCAGCAGATTGATGTCTCAAATGATGAACAAATCCATAGACGAAATGAAATTACCCCCACTTGAAAAAAGGCAAATTGTTATTCACATACACAAGAAAGGCAATAAATATTTGGTAAACTACTATCGATCAATCAGTCTAACTTCTATTGCCTTCAAAGTTATGGAGAAGATATTTGCTTGTGAACTCACTGAATTTCTAATCATCAGGACTTCCTTGCCAACCAGCATGGCTTTATACCTCAAACTCTGTTAATTTAAATTTAATTGCCAATTTGGCCCAGGATAAGAGATATTCAGTAGATATAATATACCTGGATTTTGAAACAGCTTTTGACTCAGTCCACCAAGCAAGATTTGTTTACAAACTACAGCACTATGGGATAAGAGGTAAACTGCTGGGATGGATCGAGGACTACCTTCCATGTAGAACATTCCAGGTGAGGATAAATAGCAGCCTCTCTTCAGAGTTTGAGCTTTTGAGTAGAGTGCCTTAGGGATCAGTGCTGGGAACCATATTGTTCGTAATATATATCTCTGACCTTGCTGAGCACACAATGTGCAATGTTAGTATGTATGCTGACGACACTAAGATTTTTGGCGACTCAACTTTACAACATGGAGACCTAGTTGAAGATTTAGCTAAACTGGAGAGATGGACAAGGAACTGTACAAATGCACAACCCCACACAATTTTAATTTAATATCTTAAACCCTAAAATGGGAGAGTCAGGTTACAAAGGTAGTAAAACTTGCAACACCTTAATCTACATATGACGTGTTTTCAAGGACACGTCTCAAGAATCTTTTCTTCGAGGCTATAAAAGTTTCCTCAGACCAATCCTGGAACATTCTGTAATGGGGTGGTCTTTTTACTTCTGGAATGGGTTCAGAGACGAGCAACAAAAATCCCACCATCTTTAGGGAAACTCCCATATGAAGATTAATTAAAATGTCTTCGCTTAACCACCTTAAACGAAAGGAGAAGAAGGGGGGCTTAATTGAATGCTACAAAATCCTGCATGGCCACTACTCATGTGATATTGACTTTTTTCATCGAAATGACAATAACCTAAGGGGCCATTCACTAAAATACCACGACTGAACTCCGTCACAACTTTCACGCCAAAAATTTATGACAAACCGTGTTGTAAATGAGTGGCACAGTTTACCAGATAGTATTGTGACTGCACCTACCCTGAATAGCTTTAAGAATAGATTTGGTTATTTTATACATAATATACATATAGTAAATTGCAGTTTTACCGGCTTTGCAGCCCAACAGTATAATAATAATAATAATAAAAAAGTTCAATTCATCAACAACCCATTCAGGAGGAATCCAGAAGACTTATAAATAGTTAACTGTGGAAGTTGTTTTGAAAAACTTAGTTTTTATATTTCTGCTCCTGTCACAGGTGACTTGTATGGGTGGGGTATGGGCACAAGCGGGCAATTGGGTCTCGGAGAGGAGGAGGACTGCTTAGAGCCTACACTCATCAAAGGCAAACAGCTTGCTCACGAAAAAGTGTTCAAGGTATCAAGCGGGGGACAACACACGATAATACTTTGTATCTCGGACAACAATAACAAAAACGGGGACACCGCAAGTAAAAGTAAATCCTAGTTTTCGTGTCCTTTTTGTCTTCTAAAATTTATTTATAAATTTTAACAAAGTAATTAAAGAATCCACAAATGATGTATTTCGTTTATTTATAACCCACCCTTCTTTAGGTCAGAGCTCATGTAAGCAAATTAGAAACAATCCATACAAAATTGATAAAGCAGTCACACGTTTGCTAATAACGCTAGAATGTGCATAAACGTGTATGATTGGTATAAAAGAAGTTTTAATTATTTAGTTGACTAATTTCCGTGCACTATGCATGAATAACACAACCTGACTTATACCACCTTAAAGTAAAAGTACTTGAAAGGCAAATCTCTATTTCAGATTGAGTGGGTTGTAGTTACTTTGAAACTGAGGAGCACTCTGTTTATGATAACTATTTTTAGAATCCAGCGTGTTTTGTTTAGTGCACCACTAAGCTATGAGCGCTAAATAAAACACTGAAAAGAAAGTTCGAAAATGAACTTTTGAGAGTGCGAAGGGAGAGCGGAAAAAAAAGTACAGATGTCAATATGATTATTTTATACAATTCATACAAATTTAACTACAAAATGTGACAGGATTAAGTGGTTTTCGCTCGTACCGTCATAAAATAAGTTACCATGCGCCCCAAAATGGCCACGTTTACACAAAAAAACGACACGCCCTGTAACCAGATGAGCATAAACGTGTTCTGTCCACGGTACTCGAGAAAATAGGCCGGCAATAGCCACGCTCCCTGCGCCAAGAACCACACAGTGGTCAACGCGAGCGTCAGTTTTCTCGACATTTTCAGTTGCCAAATACAAAGCGGAAGTATTCCCATGATCCAGACGAAATACTGCGATGTAATCACTCTGTTGTAGATAACCATCACTATGGTCTGCGTTAAAATGGCGAAATTCAACGCCAACCTGTTTAGACCGTACCTCACGGAGAAAACGAAAAGCAACACAATTTGAGGTAAAACCGTTAAAATTTTTTGCCACAAACCGACGTTCTCAATCCAGGCAGTAAGGTACTGCTGATAAAAATACAAAGAAAAGCTGTGCCTCGGGTCCGACCTGACAAAATGGTATATGTACGTTTGATATAAAAATTCGTAACCGTAAAGAGAGTAAAAAACGCCAGTAAGTGCGGTCAGCGAAAGGCAACAACCGCATACCAACATCCATTGATTCTTGTTTGGCATGAAGTACAGCAAATACTTCTTTTTAAAAATGGTGTTGGTACGGCCGTATGGGTCCGTGTTTGCGACGCTATTCTGTGGCGAGTCACATCCAGTGCCACCTTTGCGCGAGTCTAAATCGGCGTCGCCATAATAGGAATAACTGCTGAGAAACATGAAATAAGTCAGGCTGTATATGACAGGAAACAACCGGAAGTGTATAGACAACCCGTGCAACAGTCCTGCGACAAAGTATGCTCTTCGGTATTGCAGAAAATAAACAGTCGTTAAAATCAAGAGGCAAGCTAAAGAATCGCAGTTACCTCTGGTTGATATCGCGAGGGTCATGGGATTATACAACCAACTCAACATGCTATAGTCCGCCCATTCTTCCGCATCGTTCGATCTATGTATTTTTGTCTTTACCGGTTTATTCCTGCGAGAAATTTGTTTGCCATCCGGCCCGTATTTTTTAGGACCTTCATATGGTTGGTAAGCTTGAATAGAGTTTTTCACAATTATCCTAATGAGCAGCCCGACCAATACGTCTACCATGCAAAACAGAATCTTGCCGAACGCGCGGTGCCACATTACATTGGGTATTAAAATCAAAGCCAACAAAGGGGAGTAACGGAACGTGTGCCTCGAATAAGGAGAATTCCCAGCCAGGACATGCCTCGACGCGTCCGTAAAAACCTTATAATCTATATCCGTGTAGGGAACTTCTGATATTTTATCGTGATACTCGCCATAACAAATCAAAACCAACCGAGTCACCAATGATATTACCAAATGGACTTTATAGTCCAATGCCAGCAAACTTGAAAGCATCTTATGTAAAAAAAAGCAAAACACTACAAACGGGTGTTCATGGAAGCCGCCGCCTTACGCAAACAAGTCGTGAACACTATAAATTCTTCACTGCAGCTGTTTTTGTTTACATTGTCCAGCTTCAACACACACTGCGCGTACACGCTGGCTTCCTTGCGGCATTTGCCGAAAACTAACGGATAATTTCTAAACCTCTGCTTGGCTTTCTTAACAGAATCCATACTTCATCTCCTCAATTCACGTTTGTTCTGATAATCCCTCAATTCCAATTCGCCAATCTCTCTCCCCTTTTTATTAAAGAACACGTCGTAAATAGGTTTCGAGAAAAGAAGCAGCAATAACGCGCCCGAACTTACGGCTACAAATAATTTCGGATGTCTGAAAATTATTCCCCTATCTTTGGTTACCAATTGTTTCTGATAGTCTAAGTAATTGTCCTTCTTCATGATTTACTTTCCTGGGCTTTTCCGGTATCTATACCACCGCAGACGAAACTTTTATGTTTCCATTTTCGACAGCAATTGCGCAACTCTTCGATCGCACCTCGGCAAGCCTCTTCCTGATAGTTATTTGCTGAAAAGGACTGGGTTATGTAATTTAAAGTTTGTAGGTTAACTATTTTTTTGTCGTACCTCTTAAGCACTCTTGAATTCTACAAGCAAACACTTTACAGGGATCCTTAATTGGCATCAAGCTATCTATATATATATATAAATATAAGGATGACAATTACAATTACACAAAAATTACCACATCTTATATTACAGATCAACAAAAACTAATACCACTGATTACTCACGGATCAGTAATATTGTTGACACCACAGAATATCAAGGTTAGTTTTCCCTTACTTTTTCGGTGGCCAAATGATCTTGATACAATTAGTGAAAAAGTCAATAAGAAGGCTTTTCTTTAGGTGATAAAAGCGTGTTTATCGTTCTGCTCTTAAGTAAAGGTATTATTGACGGGGTATAATTATTGCGGCAATCGAGGGTTATCATAAATAATAAAAAGTAATAATGGCGGTAAGAACGCATTTTGAAAATAATAACGAAGTGGGAGTGTTCTCGCGGTTAACAAATGCCTATTGTTTAGTAGGTATAGGAGGGTCGGAAGTTTTTTACAGGTAGTTTCTGTTATTGCGCAATATTGAATTTTAAAGAAATATTTCAAGAACACAGAAAGGAAGGGGTTATTACCTTTTACAAATGAGCTCTTTTTCTAGTTGTTTCGAAGCTGAGTTGGGCGAAACTATCCCGATAGTTCATGCGTCCCTATCGGGCTGCCGAATTATCGGCCGGCTGTGTGTCGGAAATAAAAACGGTTTGCTTGTACCTAGCACCACTTTCGACACAGAATTACAGCATATCCGTAACGCGTTACCAGATTCAGTGAAAGTCCAAAGAATTGAAGAAAGACTCTCTGCCTTAGGAAATGTAATAGCCTGCAATGATTATGTTGCACTGGTCCATCCAGATTTAGATAGGGTGAGCTCCCCGTGTTCTTTAATTCCATAAAAACGTTTTTACTTTTAGGAAACTGAAGAAATTATAGCAGACACATTAAAAGTGGAAGTATTCAGGCACACAATAGCTAGTAATGTTCTTGTCGGATCATACTGCGTCCTGAACAATCGCGGCTGCTTGGTACATCCTCAAACGAGTATTGTTGACCAGGAAGAGTTGTCGTCGTTACTCCAAGTGCCCCTAGTTGTAAGCAGATATGTTGATGTAAGCTGGGGCTCTATAACCATGACTTGTAGGCCGGCACAGTGAATCGAGGGAGCCCTCTTGTCGGCGCAGGTGCGGTTGTCAACGATTGGGTGGCGTTTGCGGGCATGGATACCACGTCGACCGAACTGTCTGTGATGGAATCAGTTTTCCGGCTCAATGACGCGGAGCCTTCGCAGATAACGTCGGCGATGAGGGCGAGTCTTATCGAAGGGTGAGTTCAACATTGATTGGGTCCACATTTTTAACAGCATCTCATTATTTTATTTCAGGATGTCGTAAAAGTGCCAAGTCTATTCAGAACAGCCTCTATTGGCATAAAACACTGTTGTTAAATGAAATATTTTTACATTAATAAAACCTTTTTGTTGTTTCTGTATCAACACCACAGATAGAATAATTTTTATATATCCACGTCACTTCTTTCCTATAAAAAAAATGCGTTAATAAACCAGGGTTAAGGTTTCCTGTTTGTCGCTTTATAAACCAGTTAAAGGGTTTAGTTTTAACATAAGAGTCTTCACTCTAATAATTATAAAGTTTAATTTACCTTGTTAAATGCTATTATGCAGATACAGAGCGCACACAATATTTGAGGACAAATTGATATTAAGATTTATTTATTCATGTTTATTGCAAAATTTATTATAATTCCATGAAATTTTTATATAACATTAGCCTAAGACTCTATAATACCCATTGCCGGTAATAACGGACTTAATCCGAGATCGGAAATGACTGCATGCCAAAGTCAAATGCTCTTCATCTCAGAGACATTAAGCTCCCTCGCAATGGCCCTTATGGAGTTTAAAGGGATTCCGTGAACGATCTCTTGCACATATTGTGATTTCTAGTAGTGTCCAAACGTTCCTCATGTCTTTTGCGTTTTGCAACAGTTTCTATATCGCCAGGTAATGCTTCTAATTCACGACCAACCTTATGTACGAATGATGAGGCGCAGTTGAGAAATTTGGACATTTCTAAATCGGTGTGTGACGCGCATATAGCCCCGATAACTGCATGTCTCTTCATTTGTTGCGTTACTTTATAGTTCGACATCTCAGAAAAAAAAAATGTTCTCCATAAATTACAGCCGCATATATGGATGTCCTCAAATACCGTACGCGCACCCTGTATGATTAAGTTACCTTACCTTAAGTGGCTTATAAAACCTTCAACGGTAATTCTTGAAATTATTTAAGGACAATGTGCGTGAGCCAGGTGACGTAACTGGAGCAGCAATATATAATAATTAGATAATATAGTGCCCCTAGTATGCTAAAAATTGATGAGCACTAACCTGCAATTTGTCCCATTTGCTTTCTTATTTCAGCCCCATAACTCGTTTCCCCAGAACATTTAACCAGATCTGCGCATATTTTGACTTTGAAGTGACACTTATGATTCGTTAAAACGAAATTTCAAATTACTCTGTAGTGAATCGCGAAAGTGTAAAATATAGATCAAAACTAGCCAAACAAGTCGTTTTATTTAACGCCGATCGATAATAAGATAATCGAATCGTTTATCTAAGCGACGAAAACAAAATACTCGCGATCTGTTGCCGTAAATGATAAAAGGGAATCTGTTGCCGCCGTTGCACGCAATCTCTATTAAGGTAACACTCCCTGCGCGATCAAAAGGTCCGCCGCGCTGAAGGAGAGGATTTCACGCGGCATCAAGGGCGCACGCGTCGGGGCAACCCTTTGGGGGGAGTGATGATCCGTCCCGCGCCAAAAGAATTCCCTAGTCCGACGACGCGTTTTGTTGAGAGGTGCCGCGCGTCCGCCGAAACTTTTTCGAGTCCGCTTTTTATCAGCAGTGGCACGACCATGGGCAAGAAGAACTCGAAGCTGAAGCAGGACACGATCGACAGGCTGACCACCGCCACCTATTGTAAGTTTTCTGCGTGGCGCATTTTTTTTAGTTCGCGTCATTAGTTACTATTAAATAACGACGTTAGTATATATATATATATATATATATATATATATATATATATATATATATATATATATATATATATATATATATATATATATATATATATATATATATATATATATATATATATATATATATATATATATATATATATATATATATATATATATATATATATATATATATATATATATATATATATATATATATATATATATATATATATATATATATATATATATATATATATATAATATTTTTTTTGGTAGGTTAAATGGGATGTTAGTTATATATGGTAGTTTTACAAGCCCTAACAACTAATTGTTCGGACGATGTACGAAATAAGAAGAAAACATATTTATACTTATTTTAAATTGATTTTTTTTGTCTTTTCGATTGAAAAATTAATCACGCACTTATTTTTACACCAAAAAGTGCTATCGTAATGAATTATTTTTTTATTTCACATAAATTACATAACAAAATATTAAACATACCGAATTTGCTGACAAATAAATATTCGGACGCATTTAAATCTTTTACTTTAAATCGAACATTTATAAGAAGTAACATCACCTTTCGCGGCAATAACAGCTTTTATGCGTTTTGGCATAGAATCTACCAAAGTCTTGTAATATTCGGGGGTGAAAGTGTTCCAAGTGTTCTATTGATGGAATCAAACTTCTTGATAAAATTTGTTGGTATTTTTCTGTATTTACAGTACCATCAATGAACTCATAGTTGCCAACCCCTTTACCACTCATACACCCCCATATCATGGGGAAATTTCACCGTGCGCTTTAGACAATCTTTGTGAAAGGCTTCTTTCTGATTTTGTACGAATCACCCTTTTTCGAAAATCGCCTACACACATTAAATTTTGATTCGTCGCTGAAGATAACGTTACTCTACGTTTCGGTTGTCCAGAATATTTTAGATTTTGCCCAATCCAAATGTTTTTTCTTCTGAATAGACGTTAATAATGGGGTTTCCTTGCGTTTTAACAAAAGTAGATCATAGAATATTAATAATTTTTATATTGAAACAGGAAAAAATGTAAACTTACCTTCTAAAAACTCGAACCAGACTTACGCATCCATTGTCGACCTACAACATTCTCTGGAGACATTTAAGTTTGCCTCGTGATTCCATTGGGCTTGAATTTGTCGTAAGACGCTTCGTCTGCTAGTTTTACAAATCTTGACCAGAATACGACGATCTCTTTCAGTGATTTTACGAGGTCGGCCTGACCTTTTACCACGGACGCTAACACTAGCTGTCTCTCCATACTTTTTTATAATATCCCAGACTGTTGATTTTGCAAAACTCAAGTCATTTGAATTTTTTTGCATTGATTTACCTCTGCAGTACTGAGATATGATAATTTCTCGCACTTTTTTGTTTGTTGCAACACCAGGCGTCATTTTCTTATCAACTATTATACACTACATTTTACCATCAATGCATGGGTAGCCTTGATTTCTTGGTCAATAAACATTCGCGTCCGAATATTTATTTATCAGCAAATTTGGTATGTTTCCGTTATTTTGCTATGTAATTCATGCGAAATAAAAAATAATTCATTACGATAGCACTTTCTGTGCTATCGTAATGTGCGTAAATTGATTATTCAATCGACAAAGAAAAAAAACTTTATCATTTTCTACATCGTTCGAACATTTAGTTGTTAGGGATCATATGTTTAGTTGCATAATACCTTAAAGCTATCAGGTTTCGGCTAGATTATATTTTAATAAATATTTTAATAAAAATAAATAAATTTTATATAAACTAACCAAATTCTGTGATTTTGCTATTTCCTTTACTAACTTATTTACTTAAATGCACATAGACATTTTAATGTATTTGAGTGCATATTTAGATTCCTTATAGAAACAAATTTCATAATTAGTACTTCAAGTCTAATTGTTACCGGTTTCCGAGAAAAAAAAAACAATTAAAAATCAGAATGTTCTCAATTTTCAGATCACGATATAGTTTGGAATTAGAGAAATAGAGAAAATACTCTACCTCGGGAAACGGACACGCAACATTTTATGTGATATTTAATTCCGCGTGTGTTATTTGGCTTTCCTCCAGGTCACTTGCTTACTATGGCAATAATTATCATAGTGTTTTATAAATAATCTAAAAGTACACAAACCTTGCCAATTCTGTTTAAAATTTCAGTTCAACAGTGGGGCACTATGTAGACACATTAAGGTAATTAAAAAATAGTAAAAAAATGTGGTTGTTCTAAAATAATTCTCAGTTCATCTGTCATAATTTAACTTTGGCTGCTTCAATGCATTATGCATCCAAATGCACAAGTTTTATCCGCTTATATTCGAAAAACTTGCATCTGCGGGCTGTGTTAGGATTAGGTCGGGCTAAAGGTGGTTTTGTGTGTTGAATAACAAAAAAGTTCCCCGAGTGGATCTCTCACACCTAAACTGTTTCTGTAGGATCGTGAGTAAAATTGAACTCAACTCAGTTGTTGAATCGCTGAGCAAATTAAGTCATTTCTTAAAAAGTGAGAAAAAAAAAACCTTTAATTGGTTGTATACTCCGCGTACAAAGTTTTAACAGTAGTTTGGATTCTCAGAAGAGGCATAGAATGTTGGACTGTTTCTTTATATCTGTAGACGAATTTAACGGATCTCTCCGTTTAGTTTGATTTTACTTTTGTTCGCCAAATGATAATTAAACAACTAAAATTGCTGGAAGAAAAATGATTATTTGAAACAATTTATTTATTCGACACTCTTCACATAACTATCCTGGCATTTTGTTAAACAACTTTATACACAAATAATTAGGCCCCCTTTCAATTGCGCTAAGTCTGAATATTCGAAAATGCATATCCTGCTACCTTTATAGGAATGGTGATATTCTAAGCACAAAAGGTTGTCTTGTTTTTAGAAATCATAACAGACGCTCGCAGCTGTAAAATCCTAGTGAAGAAGACATCCCAGAATTGGTCCTCGCTCGGGTTTATACTATGAACGGGCATGTTGACTCAGACACCAAAAAGATTATTTAATTCCACACAAAGATTCAGTTTTTATAGTTTTAAGTGTTTGTTTTTTAACGTTTAAAGGTGGAATTAACTATTTAGAACTAATTTAATAATGGTAACTGGAATGTCCGAATTACTACGCCACTGCGCGCGCCTTCCGAAGGTCAGTGGGTCGTCGGGATGGCTGTCTGGAACTCGCATACACATACACACACTCGCGGTCCGGCGGGACATCTGGGTCGACCGAATTTAATCATTAAATTTTGGATTTATTTATTGGTGCGCCAATAATGAGTGCTACATATGCGGCGTAATAAAATATGGGATACAAATGGATATTCGAATGGAAACTATTTTTGGCACCGCGTGAACGACACCCATTAGTTGTACCATAGAATAAGAGCAATAGGTAATAATAAAATCATGTTACGCCACTGGTTAAATTAGTTAGAAGTTGTCTCCTTTTTGTCTTGATTTCACGTTTTTTTTAAATCTCTATATTATTCTTGTTTTATTAAAATTCCTATCCCAGTTGGTGGCTACTGTACAGAAGGCGAAAAATTACTTTTTTGAACTTCGAATTTCATATCTTTTTATTTGGTGCATCCACCCACATGTCAAGAATTTAAATAAGAAAATTATTGTTTGCGATGTCTGGAAGTGTTAGACATAGAATTATTTTTGTAATTATCTTGGGAGCTTTGTATAAGACATAATTCCTTTCATTTTCATATTTGTATGGATGTTAAGTTTTTTAATTTTTTCTATTAATAGTAATAATAATAATAATAATAATAATAATAAAATAAAAAATAAAAAATAAAACGTTCTTATTCAAAGTGAGCTTTAATTTTTGCTTAAATAAATAGTACAAAGGCAACTTATTATAAAGTTTTATTGGTAAAATCATTGGGGCTGTTAGCTAGTTTGGCTAACTTATGACTTGGCACCTGCAAATTAAGATTGTATTCTCCATCAATTCTGGTCATGCAATAATTAGTTAGATTACTCTTTATGTAAATTATGCTATTTAATATAAAGGGAGAGGGAAACGTTAAAAATATTAAATTTTCGGAACAGGGTTCTAGAAGAGTGACTACGAGACTTTCCCAACATTGTTCGAACAATACGTTTTTGTTGAACAAAAACTTCACTAGCTCTGGAAGAGTTTCTCCAGCATATAATAGCGTAAGATAAGCAAGATTGAACATATCCGAAATAATGCAATTGTAAAAGCTAAAGATCCACACTCGACCGCAGTCTCCAAATAACAAAAGTATACATAGCCATTTTCTTTAATACGTAGTCAATTTGGCCTGTCCGGGACAAATTAATGTCTATGAACAAGCCCAAATACTTGACAACGTTAGTCTGATTAATCGATTTATCCTGCATTCTAACCAATAAGCTCTTGTTCAAATCTCTAAGCGAAAACATCATCTCAGCCTTTGTGTCGTTCAAACAAATACAGTTACGCTCACAATATCGGGTCATACCATTTACTGCCCTGGTGGCCAAGGACGTGAGATTTTCCAGACTCCTAGATGACACCGCCACAGTAGTATCATCTGCATATAAGGAAACATAATTGTCTGGGAAAGAATCAGATATATCATTAATAAATATTATAAATAATAAAGGTCCCGGTATGCTTCCCTGTGGACACCACCGGTGCGGTTCTTTAGATGAGGATCTAATCACAGAAATATCACTTCTAAGCACAACTCTTTGGCCACGATCTTTCAAAAACAACTCAATCCAGACGCAACTATTCCCCCGTATAAAACAACAAATTAATATCAAGCACATCAAAAGCTCGCTTGAAGTCAAAGAACATACATAACGTTTTTATTATTCTGATCCAGGTTCAAGACTATTTGATTATAGTTACAGTCTTGATTAGATAATCCATTGCGAAAACCAAACTGAGAAT